TGGCCCCAGGCCCTGGCGACCATCCGACCGCCCGGGTGGGGCCGCCTCCACCCTGTGCTGCCCCGCGGTTCCCTTCACACCCCGAGCCTCTGCTCCCACCGCCACCGAGGGAAACACCTTCCCTCTTGCCGACGCCAGGGCAGCAGGCCGCATTTCCAGGAAATGGTCTACTGAATAAGGAAGGAAACAAAAGAAAAAAATTATAGACAATATGGACGGAAAAAATTATTTCCTGATAATTTTCTGGACCTAAAAATCACAGAACAGCCCTAGCTGGTGTTGCACAGTGGGTAGCGCGTTGGCCTGGGGACCCAAGGGTTCCGGGTTTGATTTCGGTCAAGGACACGAACCTCCCAGCCTGGACCCTGGTCAGAGCTCGTGCAGGAGGCAACCAGTCGATGTGTCTCTCTCACATCGATGATTCTCTCTGTCTTTCCCTCCCTTCCACTCTCTCTAAAAAGCAATGGAAAAATATCCTCGGGTGAGGATTTAAAAAATTATTTAAATCGAAGAACAATAAGAGGCTCCCCTGGGGAGGTCACTGCCCTCCACCCACCCGCTCCCAGCCTCCACCCTCACCCACCGGCCTCAGGACCCTCAGCCACCAGCGCCAGGTGCCCACCCAGCTGGCCCCAAACAGGCCTTTTCTTCTGAGACGCCCCATACCTGCCCTGCCCATGTGACCAGGGTCCCGGGTTCCATTCCCCGTCAAGGCACATACCTGAGTTGCAGGTTTGTTCCGGGCCCAGGTTGAGGCGCATTCTGAGGCAACCACTCCACGTCTCTCTCACAGGATGTTTCTCCCTCCCTCCTTTCCACTCTCTCTAAAAATCAATGCAAAAAATACCCTCTGCCCTGGCTGGTTTGGCTCAGTGCATAGAGCGTCGCCTGCGGATTGAAAGGTCCCAGGTTCGATTCGGGTCAAGGGCATGTACCTTGGTTGCGGGCACATCCCCAGTGGGGGGTGTGCAGGAGGCAGCTGATCGATGTTTCTAACTCTCTATCCCTCTCCCTTCCTCTCTGTAAAAAAATAAATAAAATATTTTTTAAAAAATACCCTCTGGGGAGGATTAACAAAATATAAACTCCCCGAGACCCCTTGCTGGGGTCCTCTTCTCACTTTTGGGGCTGGGCGATGGGACGGAGCCCCTGGCAGCCCCGTGAATGAGCCGCCCCGGCAGACCCCGTCTCCTGGCTCCACAGGTGCTGGTGCGGTTCCTGTTCTCGGTCAGCAAAGGCTACCGGAGGGTCACCTACCACAACTGGCGGCACGGCTTCAACGTAGCGCAGACCATGTTCACGCTGCTCACGGTGCCCGGAGGGGGCAGGGCACCCAGAAGCCGGGGGTGCGGGTGGGAGGCGCCCACACATACCTCCCCGACACCTGCCCAGGGTGGCGAAGACCTCCTTGGAGGACTCAGCAGGGGCCGCCCCTCGCTCGGCAGGGAGGGGAGGGGCGTCGGGTCAGACCCAGCCCCCAGGCCACCCCACAGCCCTCAGCCCCGGGAG